TATACTAGCTGTAACCTGCGGGCTTTGCCCCGTTTAACTTCTTAATTTCCAAGATAATCTCGTTCGCATTGCTCAATCACGTCCTGGTTTGAAGTTCGTTCGCTACGCTCACTCACCTTTATTTTTTAAATTTGGTTTAAAGGTTTAAGGCGGGATAAACTTGAATGAGTTCGGGAACCAGCATGATCGGACCATGGGAACAGGGCTTTACAGGGGGTTTTATGGGGTAAAAATTGGTTTTTCTCATTTTTGACCCTCAAAGTACAAAATTTCCCAATTTCTAACTAGGCCATTTGAAAAATCTTAAAAAACAAACCATTTATTATATCAATTTGTTTTTGTACGGTTATTGTCTACGGAGAAAATTCCAAATTTAAAATTCCCATGCTATTCTTATGGAGAATATTGTACAATGTTGTAGTATGCTTGTTATGGAAATATTTTGATCAAACTTGGCAAATTTATTTCATACTAAGCTACAATATTGTACAATGTTGTAGTTTGCTTGTTTATGGAAATATTTTGATCAAACTTGGCAAATTTATTTTATACTAAGCTACGGGTACTTATATTTTACCAACACATTTTATTAGCCTCCCTGTAGCAGCAAACCTAGGTACTTGTTAAACCTAATGTTATTAATTTAAAATCAATTCAGGCAAATGCAAATTTGCTTAGTCAACAGGTTTGCTGTGGTGGGGGTATTTTCTTTACAAAGGCTTAACAAATTACATTTTCAATTATTTATTATTCAATTTTATCAACTAATTTTACCATTAAAATTTTAACTTAAAAATCTGGAAAAAGTACTATTTTACTGTAATAGAACTTGCCTGAGTTTGAAACTTCATTTCAGGAAAAATATTTTTTATTTTTATTTTAAATACTGGTTTAGGGAAATTTTATTATTTGTTTATAAAAAAAAAAACCATGTTTGAAGCAGTTTTAACCAATTCTAAAAAATAACAAAGCAGGACCACTTCCCAGAGAATTGCCCAAAAGTGGTTTTCAAAGTGATGACTGTGTGTGTGTCCGTGTGTGTATGTATACAGTGCTACAGACCACACCTATCGTCCGATTTTGATAAAATTTGGTATTTAGGTATATCTGTGCTGTTTGGTATTTTTATAATTGTTATCATATGTTGCATATTTGATGTTTGTTTTTATTGTATTGTTGTTTTGAGCTTGAAGACTTACTTTTGGTATCTTGGCTAATAAAGTAATTATGTTTAACTGTGGTGTGAGTTTTACCTTTCACTTCATGGTGTCAGGTTGAATAAACTTTTGTGGAGAAGAAAGAACTAAGAATGGCTGAAGCAGTGAGTAGTACAGTTAGTACAGTTCAATACCAACTTGTCACACCTGAACCTTTCAATTTCAGGGAACCTTCTGAATGGCCTAGATGGATAAGAAAATTTGAAAGGTTTAGATTAGCTTCAGGATTAGACAGTAAGAGTGGGGAAAATCAAGTTAATATGCTTTTATACAGTCTAGGAGATGAAGGAGAAGACCTTCTAACATCTTTCGGATTAAAAGATGAAGAATTACAGAGTTATGACACTGTCAAGGGTAGATTTGAGTCTTACTTAGGTTTCAAAATCAATATTGTATATGAGAGAGCTAAATTTCTAAAAAGACGTCAGTCTGAGGGGGAACCTGTTGATTCTTTTATAAATAGTTTACACAAACTGGCAGAGCGATGTAAACTTGGGGAATTAAAAGATGAACTAATTAGAGATTTGATAGTAATTGGGGTAAATGATGATAAACTTTCTCAAAATTTACAGTTGGATGAAAAATTAACCTTAAGTACAGCGATTTTGAAAGCAAGACAAGCAGAGAGTTTAAAACAACAACAAAAAGTAGTTAGAGAATCACCAGAAATTGAGTTTGTCAATAAGGGGATTAATCAATCCACTAAACATCGGTTTAGGGAGAGTTCTTACAATAAAAGTCAAGATCAAAGCAGTTCAAAGAAAGGTAAATGTAACAAATGTGGATTTGTTGGGCATCACAATAGCAATGGTTGTCCTGCCAATCAGTCTACATGTTTCAGATGTGGAATAAAGGGACATTATGTGAGATGTTGTACCAAAGGATTTGAAGTGAGAGAAATTAATAAAAGTAATGAACCATTAGAAAAACCTAAAACCTATTTAGGGGAATTGACCATAGAAGAGGTTGGAGGACAAAATCCTTGTAAAGTAAAACTTATTGTTAAGGGACATGATAGGCCTATTTATTTTAAGTTAGACACTGGAGCAGATGTTTCTATAATTGGATATGATCTTTGCAAGGAGTTAAAACTGGAAACGAGTGAAACAAGTAAAATATTATTTGGTCCGGGGAAAACTAGGTTGAAAGTGGTTGGTAAGATCGTTGCTACTTTAGTGTTTAAAAATAAATCTATTGTAGAAGATATTTACGTTATTGAGCAACAACCTACTCCACTTTTAAGTAGAAATGCAATGTTGAAGTTAAACCTAATTCAGTTCAACATAGATTCGATTTTCTCTAGCCAAATATTTTCTCAGTTTTCTGATGTTTTTGGTTCTATTGGTGAAATTAAAGGGGAAACTACAGAATTACACTAACACAAAATGCTCGTCCCTTTGCTGTGGCAGCCCCTCGTAGAGTGTCCGCTCCATTATTGAGCAAAGTCAAAGAAGAATTGGATCGACTGCATTCTGAGGAAATAATTGAGCCAGTGGTAGAACCAACAGACTGGTGTGCCCCAATTGTTGTTGTGCCGCGTAAGACAGGTAATAATAGAGTGAGGCTGTGTGTTGATTATACCAAACTCAACAAAAGCATTCAGAGAGAAAGGTGGCAACTACCAACTGTAGACTACCGGAGCTGTGGTTGCTAGATTGAAAAATATATTTGCTCGACATGGAGTACCATATGTGGTAAGAGCTGATGGAGGTCCGCAATTTACTTCTCAGGATTTTAAAAATTTTGCTGAAGAATATGGTTTCCGTATAGTGACATCAAGCCCAAGGTATCCACAATCAAACGGAGAAGCAGAAAAAGCAGTTGACATAGCGAAGCGGATTCTAACGAAATGTAGTGATCCAAATCTTGGATTGTTAGAATATAGAAATACACCCTTAGAGTCTGGTCTTTCACCTGCAGAGTTACTTTATTCACGGAAGCTCCGATCAACATTACCGTCAATAAATAACTTCAGACAGGTAACAAGAGAAAGATTGCAAAAGTTTAAAGAGAAGGATTTTTCAATCAAGGAAAGAAATAAGAGAAACTACGATGTAAGGAAAGGTGTAAGAGATCTCTCACAGCTTGATCAAAATGACAAAGTTTGGATTCCAGATTTAAAACGTTATGGACATGTAGAGAATAAATCAAATCATCCTCGGTCCTACCTGATAAATACACAGGTAGGGAAGATCGGAAGGAACAGGAGACATATAATAGCTGTGCATAGGCCTATTGAAAATGGTGAAAATAGATTTGAACACCAATACCAAGAAGACCAAGGAACTGAAACTGATGCTGGACATAATTACAATAGCAATGAAAATGACAGACCTAAAAGAAGTGTAAAACCACCTCTTAGATACAGTGATTCAGATTTTTATAAATAAATCAAAAAAAGAGAAAAGAGAAGATGTGCTGTTTGGTATTTTTATAATTGTTATCATATGTTGCATATTTGATGTTTGTTTTTATTGTATTGTTGTTTTGAGCTTGAAGACTTACTTTTGGAATCTTGGCTAATAAAGTATTTATGTTTAACTGTGGTGTGAGTTTTACCTTTCACTTCAATATCCATGGTATCTCCAGGCGTTTTTTTTTAATTTTTTCAACATTTTGATTTTTAATGATAACTAGCTGTTTCCCACGGGCTTCACCCCGTTTGACTTCATTAGTATTAATAACATTATTGATTGGCTAGGTTGGGTTGAAATAAACAAAACAGAATACAGTAATACAAAACAAAAAAGTATAGCTGAGGTATTTTAACATTAGGTGTATGTAAAGTTCCCTTTAGAAAGGAATTACGACCTTAAAGGGCAATTTATGAAATAATGGATAGTTTTGCGCAAGGTGACGAGAAGTCATGACGAACATTTTAAGTATATGGTTTATGGGGGTTTGACTTGTAGTTTTCTCAAAAGTTCATGGGTACTTTTGGCTTTATATATAGATTTTCCCATAAAAACCCATAAAATAACGGAAAAATATATTTTTTTTTTTTTTTTCAAAAATAGCCTAAGCGATTTTGATACAAATTTAGTATGTTATAGTTCTTAAAATTCTTAACAAAATGGTACAAATCCCATTTCCGTGAAAATTATGGTTCCAAAGTTATTGTAACTTATGTTATTTTGCTATAAAAACCCGGTTCTAATTGAAATTTCTCTGTTATGGTCTTTATAATTCCAACCAAAAATGGTGCACCCCCATTCCTGAAAATACTTCGGTTCAAAAGTTTTGAACTTTTCTAATTTTAAAAAGTATACAGTATTAAATATCATAGTTACTCTAAGCACTTACCCGTGATTAAAAGGATTTTGATAAGCTAATGGGAGAAAGTATCTGTCAGATTGCTGATACCGTTTATTTTGTTTTGGTCCAATCTGTAAAAGTCAATGGCTAAGAATTAAAAATCTACTTTTTAAGCGTATGGGTATTTTTCGGTAATTTTTAATTATGTTTAATCTGCAGTTAGTGTTTACTTGAGTAGGCTATCCCTCACTACCTGAGGAAATTTAAAAAGATATATTTTTCAAATTAAGTTTTATTTCTAAAATTGAAGATGGATGTGTAAATATTACATGTAGCAGATTTAAAGAACCACATTATTCTCTTCCCTGCCCTCTTCCCATTGTGAAGCACAGAGATAGTGCATAGTAACACAATGAAATGATTTAAAGTGTCTGATGTGTTTAATCTGCAGTTTGTGTTTATGTGAGTGTGCTATAGTGGAATTATTAAATTACTGTATTTTTTTATTACATGAATACAACTTTGCAGGGGCAAGGCATCAGTACTGCCGATGTCAAAAAACTTGAGGAGGCTGGATACCACACAGTGGAGGCAGTTGCTTTTGCTCCCAAAAAACATCTTATTAGTATAAAAGGAATTAGCGAAGCAAAAGCTGACAAGATCCTGGTAAGTAATGCCTATATTTTTAGCAAATTTACCAATATTTAAGTAGTTGGTTTTTTACGAAACAATACTTTCTTCATATACAAAGTATGTGGGAAGAAAGTACAGTTGAACCTCGTTTGTACGAACCTCGATAAAACAAATTCCTCGATAAGACGATTTTTTTTAATCCCCTTGACACTTTCATATAGGTCAATGCTAAAACACCTCTATACAACGTAGTAATTAAGTTAAAAACCTCCATGAGACGAATTTGTTTGTGACATGGGCTAGGACTGATTAACCTCTATACAACGAATATTCTTAGCACAAAACCTCTACAATACGAACGTGACCTCTATAAGACAAATTTATCATAATCTTAACCTCCATAGTACGTAGTTTTCAAAACAAACAGAAGCTTGTCTCAACATTAAACCCCCACCCATCCCTCCTCCTTCCTCAGTCATTGTTTGGAGAAACCTTGGAGCGAGGAGAAACCTCTATAAGAAGAATAACAGCAGCATTAAACCTCGATAAAACGAACCTCTTTATTAAGAATACCTCTATAGTACGAATTTTTCCCGTACCCCTTGAAATTCGTCTTATAGAGGTTCAACTGTAAAAGGAAATCAATCTGACATTTTTAAGGAAATATTTAAGTGAAAATCTAATCATCAGGCAAATGGAATTTTGCTTAGTCTGCAGTTTTGCTGCGGTGCAGCAGGGGTATTTTGAACTCACCGTCAAACATGACCTTTCTAATGTTCTAGCAAACTTCTCAAATTGTTAATTACAATACGATACCCAGACACTTAAATATTTTGGCTGAAGTACATATTTTAGTCAAAGTTCAAATAAATAGATAATTTAAACAATCATTTTCAAAATATATAAACATCACAAAAAGCAACTAGCCTCTTGCACACACATTACTGATTAACATTGACTAAGCAAGATGTCGACTGGAGATTGTTCCTGGTGTAGCAGGACTATCACCTGAACTTTGTACTCCCGGATTCGGTTTCTTTTACTGATTCAAAACAGTCATTGTCAAGAATCTTTATTCACAAATATACATCTAGGTGTATAGCTTCAAATGAATAGCGTCAAATAAACTAAAACTATACTTAAACTAAGAACCATTTTAGCACATTTCCCATATAAGCTATTATCGTAGGTCTCATGGTAAGTCCTGGATCCGGGACTGATTTACTTTTTCATTTTTAGGTCCCCAGAGGCCAAAATACCCCTGTCGTAGCAAACCTGCAGACTAAGCGAATTCCCATTTCCCTAATTGGATTGCACTAAAATGTCTCCTTAACCATTAGGCGCATAGTAACGCTACAAAATACAAAAATATTTGTTTTTTAAGCTCTACAAAATGGTTTGGAAAGAAATTTTATGTTTTAGGGTCAAAAATGAGAAAAACTTATTTTAACCCCATAAAACCCCCGTTCCCATGGTCCGATCATGCTGGCTTGCCAACTTGTTTGAATAAATATAGGTTTACACGTTTATACCAAATTTAATCAAAATCGGATCATTTTTGTTTGAGTTATTATATATATATGAGTTTGAAATGTTTGTGTTTTTGGCCTGTAGGGACCCCAAAACAGAAAAGTAAATCAGTCCCGGGTTTAGGTCTTACCATGAGTACTACAGTAATAGCTGTTTCCCCATATGGGAAATTCGCTAAAAGACGATATGTTCAAAATTTTATGTTCATTACACAATAACCAGAGAAAAAATTTTCCGATTTTCATTAAACGTGGTAAAAAAACCTGTATTTATTCTAACGAGTTTGCAAACCAGCATGATCGGACTATGGGAACGGGGGTCTATGGAGTAGAATTACTGCAGGTTAATGGAGTGGGAATTGGTTTTCCCATTTTTGACGCTCAAGACATAAAAGCTTAAAAAAAAACAAATAATTTAGAATATAGAAGCATTATTCTGCTCTTAAGTTAAGAAGAAAATTCTGAAAACCTGTAAATTCAAAATTTCCACTTTATTGTTATGGAGAATAAGACAACTGTTGTACTCTTTGTACTTTCTTATTCTTGTATTTCTTATTCTTACTTTCTTGACATGACAACTGGTTGGTTTGTGCGAGAGGTATGTTAGTTTTTGTAGGACTAATTAATTTTATATTTTGCCATTTTTTCTTAATGTTACTGTATGTGTAAAGTCTGTGCCTACTTCAGCAAAATCTTCAAGGGTATGAGGATGACATTGTGATTTTGAAACATTCACAACACATTACAACTGTTGAGCTGATGAAGGTAGGTTTACAGCTCAGGGGCTAAAACATGGATAAACAAGCAATGTGTGTGGTTTACAATAAAACGTGTTTAGTTATAAAATTGTGTACTGAACTATTCTTGACCATGAGCAGCAGAGGTCTCATTATTATTCTGGTTTGAAGGCTGAAGCTGCAAAGCTGGTGCCAATGGGGTTTACAACAGCAACTGAGTTTCATCAGAAACGCTCAGAAATCATTCAATTAACAACTGGCTCCAAGGAACTGGACCGTCTCCTAGGAGGCGGTATTGAAACTGGGTCCATAACCGAGATTTTTGGAGAGTTTAGAACTGGCAAAACACAGATTTGTCATACACTTGCAGTCACATGTCAGGTAAGACAAAAATATCCACACGTTTATTGCTGTCTAGGTTGTTTACCGCTCACCAATGTCACGGAAGTCACGCAAAAAAATCGGGCTTACCTAAAATAAAGTTTCCCAAACCTGCGTTTTGTTTTTGCACCTTGCTGCAGGCAGTGATTAAAATCATAATGTAGAATCAGAGAGCGATCATACTTAGGGAGCAGGCTACTAGCCCAAAATAGTTCGGCACAAAGTATTGTACCTATGCCCGACTATCTCATGCTCAAGTCCCTGTCTTATTGGTACCAAAGATGGTGGGTTTTAACTAGGGATGGGTCAATTCCTCTTTTTTTCAATTCCGATACCGATTCTTGCAAATTGATTCCTGATTCTTGATCCCAATTCCATTGATTCCTAATAAGTAGAACAAATTCCTAATGAGTAAAATACCATAGAAGTAGCCTAATTGAATAACAATATTTTTTCCAGATTTTCCCAACTCACTATTTAAAAAGTACATTATTTTATTTATGACTTTTTTTTACTCTATACAGTAGACTCCCTCTAGTTCGGCCACCTCGGGACCGGACCACTGGCCGAACTACAAAATGGCCGGACTAACCGGATGTAGTGCATTTTACATAATCAAAATACAAATAATAGTATTGCGCAATCGTGATATGTAAAGTCAATAACCTACAGTAATAAAAACTGTAACGTTTAAAATCACGCCTACTCAAGCAAAACAAAAATTACACAACACTGTAGGTACTACTACATGTTGTTTCAGAACATAAGAATGTTGATAAAAACATTAGACAACTCATAAAACAGCATAAAATCATAGTACTTAGTCTTAAAGATAATAACGATAGTCGTAAAATAGGATAAAGATAACAATGGATGACGTAAAACTCTGCTTATTCTTTCTTCTTTGTTCTTCTGTTCTTTCTTTGGTTTCTCTTCATCCACAGATTTAACAAGTTGCCATGATTACTAATCACCCAATCACAAACTGTTGTGAGATAGCAAGTAAGTGCACAGCAGACATCAGTTGTGTAAAGAGCAGATGATTGTCAGTGTAAGCGGATAGCTTGACCTTGAAGCTAACGATGGCTATTTCTTTGTTTTGCTTTAATTTATTTTTGTCAAATAAACCGTGGTGTTTCAAAAACAACAATGGGGGAACCTACCGCATAAAAAAATGGTCTGAAATATTTAATTATACACTGCATCGCAACATATTATGCCAAAGAAAAACTTTTATAAAATGTTCTCGGTATTTTTGAGGTTATGTAACATAGGTACATAGGTAATATGCAACAATTCACCCATAGAAGCAAGCACCTGTAAACTAAACTGACATGAATTGTTTACTTCTATGGCCGGAAACTAAACATTAAAGTTGAATCATGTCGAAGGCAATCCACCCATGACGATATGACTTGTCCCCCTGAGACAGGGCCGGACCATCCGGCGGCCGATCCAACCGAAGCCGAACTAGAGGGAGTCCACTGTAATTTAATTCTGATAACTGAGATTTTGCATTTTGTTATTAAAAAAATATCCAGGCTACATTTCAACAATCCAATCAAGCTTACATAATCAAAAATAAAAAGTTAAATAATTGGATTGTGTTAACTACCATGGATAATGTATCATTCATGACCCAGGCCTTGGTATAGCAAGATTTTTAGTTGATGGTTTTTAAATTTTCTGTTAAAATTCTGTATTCTGAAAACTTAAATAATAATAAATGAAATAATGATCTGTCATTTACTGTAGAACAGATTTCCCTGTCGTAAATCAGGAAATAAAGAAATCCCAACCTCCATAGCCTAAAATGAAATTTTTTTTGTCAAACCAATTAAACTTTCTCAACCATGACATAATTTTATGTTAGGTAATAGGCACCTACTTAATTGCGCCATACCAACGCCAAAACCAAGTCGTCCTAGTCCAAAAATGTGCGTTAAGAAATGGTATGTTATTTTAGATGAGTGAAGGAAAAAGAAAAAATATCACAGATGTTGAAATATAGCTAAGTTTGGAGTAAGCTCAAGATGAAAGTACCGATGGTGTAACAAAAAAATTGTATGGGTAGGCCTACTTTTTACCACGACAAAAATATATGCTTAGCTTTTTTTTTAAATAAAATGTTATTTAAAGCAAACGAAATAGGGTTTTACACAGTTGTTTTATTTTCCATGTAAGCTGGTTGAACCATAGACTAAACAACACAAGTAGCATTCTCATCCCAATGTAAATTCTGTAGCTCGTTTTTGTGTCTAACTCATGGTAGGTACATTTGTTAATTTTAAATAACATTAAATACTAAACATCAATTCAATCCACAGTCATGCATCGATTGGGAATCGTATTGTCTAAATCGTCGTGCCGCCTGCGTCTGCCTAGTTTCAGTTTCACTGTCAGTGTCTGTCTACACACACACACACAAACATGAACACAGACAATTACTTATTGCGATCAAGGTTAAGTCGATACCGGCAATGGCGCCAATAGTTGCTCGCACTGAACTAGAGCACTAGAGCTACAACCGAAGGTAGCACTGAGAGAATCGAGAGATGTTGGCCGCCATATTTACTAGGGGAATAGTACTTTGGAACTAGTGCATTGCAATTGCCAACAGCGAATGAGCTGATTGATTCTTCTAGTGGTAGCAACATATCAACAATTTGCAGCGTCTCGATTTTCTAGCAGAGTTGCCGTGCCAGTGATACCTCCATTTGGATGTTTTCAGTACCGGTATATAACTATTTCGTTTTGTAAAAAGCAAGAGCGGTTCCCTGATTCCGTTTACTTATAAAACACTTAGATACGATAAATAACTGAGAGCGCATGATAATTTTGGGCCGGCATGAACTACGCCGGTTGTCTGATTCAGAATCTAAACGAACAAAAAAACATTGACCATGGAAACTTCCTTAAAAATAGTGTTTTAAATGGAATTGGTATCGAGAATCGTGAGTAATATATCAGAACTGGTATCGAATCGAGAAATTCTGTTATCGGCCTATCCCTATTAAAATACAATTAATATTCTACTAAGACGCGTAATTCGGCCTTAAGTTTTGAGACCGAGTTTGGCTTTGTACCAGCAATGCGTAGATTGACACTGCTACTGCATTCGCCGTGCTGCTACACGTTATTATAGATAGATAGAGCTGGCAGGTGGCGGCGAGTCGGCATATTCTGTCAGCGATTCTCGAATCTCGTTAATCGAATCTCAAATCCGAATCTTTTCTTTGGACTCGGTGGATTCGAGATTCGGATTCCACTCATCTGAGCTGCCGCGCCCGTGTCATGTCGTCGACCATCGTGTCTCAGTCTCAGTCTTTTGTCTTTTGTCCGCTTATTGACGACAAGTATGACAGTGCAGAATGAGGTGTTGAACGTGGAATGTTTCTTAATCAGCATTTTCTTACAGTTAAGGAGGATGAATCAGGGAATAAATACAAACTTACTGTAAACTTTATTTCACAATAATACATATAAGCTAATGTACTAGTCGGCGGAAAAATTACCACCTGGAATCGAAGGAATCCCAATCGACTTTAGGTGATCGATTCCCGATTCTGATTCTAAGCCAAGAATCGAGAATCAAAGATGGAATCGACCCATCTCTAGTTTTAACGCTGTCCCCCTGCCCCCTAAAGTCACTGAAATTAAGTCTGATCAACTGGTAGTCACCCTGGATGAAACTTTCATAAATGCAAATCAGCATTTTGAGCCGTCAAGCTGAAGCAACAAAACAAATAGGTAGTCTTTTACTCCAATTATTCTTCTTCCTATTTGCTGCTCCATTTGATTATCCTTGTTTGCTCGATTGACTTAATCGGTTGTCACTCTCACTCTCACTTAATATGTTAAGTTAAGTAGTTAGAATTGCTCACTTTACGAAGCTAGGCTATGTATTTTATAAATATGGTAGATTTGATTTTATATTTGGGTAGTTTTAATTCAAGAATCAAGTTCAAGTCACTCAAACATGATCCGGTTTTACCATTATTGTAAGATCTTTTACACTATGCTCTAACAATATGTTGTGCAGTTGCCTATTGACCAAGGTGGTGGAGAAGGCAAGTGCCTGTACATCGACACTGAGGGAACGTTTCGTCCAGAGAGATTGTTGGCTGTTGCTGAAAGGTACAAACTTGTCGGCAGTGATGTATTGGACAACGTAGCTTACGCACGAGCTTACAACACAGACCATCAGACACAACTTCTGATCATGGCCTCTGCTATGATGGTTGAATCAAGGTAAGGCAATTCAAAACACTATTTGTTAAATACTTTCTTAGTTCTAATATTTAAGGCTCCTAATGGTTCCTTCCTAGGTAAAGATATAAAATTTCTCTTTGAGATGACTCAGCATAAACACCTAGAGAGTATTTTTTTTCTTCAATAATAAGTTAAACTTAACATTTTAGATAAAGCTAGGGTATTTTAAAATAATTTGCATTTAAAACTTGATATTCATTACCCCTTTTGTGGGATTGTTCCTAGAGACAAACAGATTTTGTAATATTTTAACCATAGGCCCCATTCCTAGTTTTCCGTCTATCTGCTGTTCGTATGTGTTTATTTTATACAAATTTCCTTATAGCTTCTTAACGCTTCAACATAGAATCTTTAAATCAAGTACAGATCTATGTAAAATTAAATTACGTTACAAAAACTTACCGAAAAATTATTTTTTATCCATTTAAAAGTATCAGCTATTTATAAATACTAGTGGTCGTCCTGTGGTCGAAACTCGACCAAAAATAATTAATGTACAGACTTCTCTATTTTCTCCCCACATTGTAAATAAAACATGTGATTGGAATTTCTTCCATTTGTTTTGATTTTCTGTTTACATTTTGTTGTTATTTCGTCACCATCATGGCAACCCATATGGTCCATGTTAATTTTTTGAAGTTTTCAAATTCATTTTTTGTTCTTATTTGTTAGCCTATTTTAATTTTTAAAAGCATTCTGCACATCTACAGGAAAATATCTTTCCAACAGTATGCGTAGATTTTCCCTGCGATGCACACGAGCTGAGAAAAAAGGTTTTAATGAAACATGCTTGCCTATTAATATATAGATAGATAAATCTTTGATATCTCAAAAACAAAGAACTTTATAAAAAAAATACAAAGAATAGCCTAATAAAACTTTTTAAACTTTAAAACAAATCTAATGCCACCTTAGTTAACAAAATCTGTTGAAAAACAACCAAGTTATAACGCCTTTTATCATCCAATATTTTAATAATAACAAACTACTGTATAAGACATTTGAAATGTTTCATCATGTGGACCTGTGCATGCTAATCAGCTGTTAATTGTCCATTTCTTGTTACTAAGTAATCAGCTGACAAATACCATTGTTTGAACAATGAAAATTAAATAAATGTTTCACTACTTGTTACTTTCCATCAAAGCAATATTTATTTACTTTAAAATCATACTACACAGAAACTGGTACTTTCCCATCCGTATTGATAGGCTGGAAAGTTGCCCTTTGCCGTGCCTACACATGGAAAGGTAACGTAATGTACTTTTACCGTGCACTGAGTCAGCTGATGAAATAAACAGCTAATTGCAACGGCCTATTTTATTTTCTGAAATAAAAAAATATTATAATTTATATTATGTCCTAAATAAACTGTTTTATGAGTTTTAATGGTACTAATTTTTCTGTGTAGTATGATGTAAAGTATCGTACGTTACTTGTCCGGTAAGCTTTACTCACCCGGTAAAACACCACTTACCGGGCTAGTAACGTAATATACTATTTCTATCACTGCACGTTTTTAAGTGATAACATTGCCACACCTCTAAGCAGTACACAAAATAGCTCATTTCTGCTCATTCGGAAATGATCATTCCCGCTTGCTAAGTGTCAAAACATTATAGCTGATCAGCTAATTTCACATTGGGCGTTTCTATGCCAACCACATCCACAGAGCTGGTACGTTAACAACCGGTGAGCAAATAACATAACCCAAAAAAGCAAACATACCCTAAATGACGGGACCGGACCATGGTCGGAACGGCCAAAAGGTCGGATATTGGTAGGAGCATAACCTGCAGCCACCGCAACATCGGTAATCGTCTCTCGCTACTGTGCAAGGCCGTAGCCAGGACAAACACACACATACTACACATCACACATACATACTCACCACACACTACCATACACTACTACTAGTCACATTACTACTAGTTCCAGAAAAGCCCTTCAAGCCCTGGGTTTTGTTCTTCGTAGTTCCAAACATTTTCAAGACGTTACTCTACTCAAAACCCAGTTCCTGGCCTTCGTATTGCCACACCTTGAGTTTGGCTGTTGTGTTTGGTCACCTCACCAAGACTATCTCAAGACCGAACTTCAAATGGTTGTTAATCACTTCTTGAGAGTGGTCGGTGTGAGGTTAGGCTACAACTACAGAGAGGTACCCATCCAAGACATCTACGTGGCCCTTCAAATCCTTCCCTTGGAGTTCAGACGTGTGATCCAGGACATCTTGTTCATCTACAAACTGGTCAATGGCTTCATCGACTGTCCCGGACTTCTCAAACTTCTGAACTTTAGGGCGGGTAGATCTTCAAGATCCAGAGACCTCTTCTCTCGTGAGCACCTCAGCACCAACTATCATCTCTATAGCCCATTGCCCAGAGCCCAACGTCTCGTCAATGCTCTACCTGATGACATTGACCTTTTCAGTATGTCGCTTGCTTCCTTCAAGAAAAGTGTGGTGTCTTCGAAGTGGTGAAGTGGAGATCTCTCTGGTTTTTGTGTCTGCGCCTCTCTGTATACGTTGTCGTTAATTTCAAAACTGCCCTTTCTTGTTTTGTAAACATCACGGCTGATTTTTCGCTTTTTCTGCTATGTTTGGTTGTGATTTGCTTGTTTTGGTCCATGCAATATTGTTATTTTTGTTTTTGCACCCAAATTAGTTATCAAAATTTTCTTAATTAGAGATTGTTGAGCGGAGCGAGCGAAGCTCTTATACGTCGACTCTTATGCATTTCGTAATACGCAAACTCCTCCTAGACGGCTGAATCAATCGTTTTCAAATTTTGCATAAAGATAAAGACCATATCGGTGAGTGCTAACATCTATATAGTGTTAAAAAAGTCTCTCAGGAATCCGCCCCACTGGGTCTCAAAGTTTCAATGTAATTCTATGGGAAGGGAGGAAAACGGGTCCGGGACGTAGGAATTGGTGACGAAAGTAGTCAAGGCGAGCTGTCCGGAGTTTTGTAACTGTTTATGACAGTTAGATTAAGGTATCTGCATTCCTAAAATTATATGGGAAAGGAGGAAAACGGGTCCGCGACGTAGGAAGTGGCGAAGGAAGTAGTCAAGGCAAGCTGTCCGGAGTTTGGAAACTGTTTATGACAGTTAGATTAAGGTATCTGCATTCCTAAAATGATATGGGAAAGGAGGAAAACGGGTCTGCGACGTAGGAAGTGGCGAAGGAAGTAGTCAAGGCAAGCTGTCCGGAGTGTGGAAACTGTTTATGACAATTAGATTAGGTTTCTGCATTCCTAAAATGCTATGGGAAGGGAGGAAAACGGGTCCACGACGTAGGAAGTGGCAAAGGAAGTAGTGAAGGCAAGTTGTTCGGAGTGTGGGAACTGTTTATGACGATTAGATTAAGGTTTCTGCAATCCTAACATGCTATGGAAAGGGAGGGAAGTTGCTCTTATACGTCGACTCTTATACAGGGTGAGTTTTGTAAACACTTCAAAATGAGGTGTCACTAAATGGGGGTTTATGTTTAAAATCTTTGAGTGTCCCCCCAAAAGGGGGGATTGGGTGGGCAACTAAAAACTTTTTAATGTAAAACCCCATCAAGTGACACCTCATTTTGAAGTGTTTACAAAAACTTAAAGAATGGTGAAAACCAGAGTTCGCTATCTCTTCTATATCCAAAATGGTAGCCAATATTACAATTACAAACCAATTTTACCATTGATTTTCCACAACCTTTGACGGGCTACCATTTTGGACAGAAAAGAGATAGCGACCTCTAATTTTCACCATTCTTTAAGTTTTTGTAAACACTTCAAAATGAGGTGTCACTTGAAGGGGGTTTACATTTAAAATATTTGAGTTGCCCCCCAAATCCCCCCTTTTGGGGGGAGACTCAAAAATTTCAAAATCATAAAATGAAACTTCCTGCTAAGATTGCAAGACCCCCAAAAGGATATCTCTGTATATTTACTTGGAAAAATATTAGATGGGGGGGTCTTGACTTTTTATTCACCCTGTATGCATTTCGTAATACACAAACTTCTCCTAGACGGCTGAATCAATCGTTTTCAAATTTTGCATAGTGATAAAGACCATATCGGTGAGTGCCAACATCTATATGGAGTTAAAAAAGTCTCTCAGGAATCCGCCCCAATGGGTTTCAAAGTTTCAATGTAATCCTTATGGAAGCAGTATTTGACACATAAACAAAAACATATGATCAGCTGTTGACTTTTGAATGCAGTAGATAAAGAAATAGCTTATAGCATTAATTCACAGATATTAGAACAGAAACGGTATGGATCATAAATATAATAAAATGACGACACTAGCTTGAGGTCCGTGACGTAGAAAGTGGTGAAGGAAGTAGTAAAGGTGAGCAGTCTGGAGTGTGGAAACTATTTATGACGATTAGATTTAGGTATCATCAGCATTCCTAAAATTCTATGGGAAGGGAGGAAAACGGGTCCGCGACGTAGGAAGTGGTGAAGGAAGTAGTCAAGGCGAGCTGTCCGGAGTGTGGAAACTGTTTATGGCAATTAGATTAAGGTATCTGCATTCCTAAAATGCTATGGGAAGGGAGGAAAACAGGTCCACGACGTAGGAAGTGGCAAAGGACGTAGTGAATGCGAGTTGTTCGGAGTGTGGGAACTGTTTTTGACGATTAGATTAAGGTATCTACAATCTTAAAATTCTATGGGAAGAGAGGGAAACAGGTCCTCGACGTAGGGAGTGTTGAAGGAAGTAGTAAAGGCTGGCAGTGCAGAGTGGGGGAACCGTTTGGGCAGTTAGATAAATGTATCTAAAACTTAAATGCTATGAGAAGGGAAGGAAACAGGTCTATGACGTAGGAAATGGTGAAGGAAGTAGTAAGGCTTGCAGTGCAGAGTGTGGGAACTGTCTTTGGCAATTACATTAATGTATCTGCAATCCTAAAATGCTATGGGAAGAGAGGGAAACAGGTCCACGACGTAGGGAGTGTTGAAGGAAGTAGTAAAGGGGAGCAGTGTTGAG